CAGCTTTGGCCGATGACTTCTATGACAATATTCAGCTTTGGCCGGGCATGGTGGCTCGCACCTGTAATCCCAGCACTTTGGGAGGCCAAGGTGGGTGGATCACCTGAGGTCAGGAGTTCGAGACCAGCCTGGCCAACATGGTGAAACCCCATCTCTACTAAAATACAAAAAAATTAGCCAGGCGTGATAGTGCATGCCTGTAATCCCAGCTACTCAGGAGGCTGAGGCAGGAGAATCCCTTGAACGTGGGAGGTGGAGGTTGCAGTGAGCCAAGATAGTGACACTGCACTCCAGCCTGGGTGACAGAAGGAGACTCCAAAAAGAAAAAAGTCAGCCCTTATTTTCCTCTCACCTCTTTAAATACTCCTTTGTAATCTCCTTTGCTGTATGTTCTGCCCACTCCCGTAACTTCAGTTATCACCTCTTTCCTGATGACTCTTGTAGACGAAGATCTGTATCCCCAGCCACTTACCAAATATTTCCACTTGGATGCTTCAGTGGAACTTAAAACATACCTCAAACTGAATGTATTACTGTTTCCTCCTATCCTTCTTTATTCCAACTTTCTCTCTCTCCTTTACTTGAATCACTCATTTGAAATTTCCAAATTGGGTTTAATGGGGCATTAACATTGTCCAGTAGCTATGTCTAGGAACCTCTTGTTCTTGATTCTTTACTTTGAATAAGTTCCAACATCTAGTATGTCACTAAAGTTTGCATTATGTTTTGCCTAGTCACCTAGTGAATGTCCCAGCCTTTAGATAGATCACCTTCTAACCTGTCACGTACATTCCTGTCAGGTAGACCTTTAAAAAAAAAAAAAACGAGGCCAGGCATGGTGGCTCACACTTGTAATCCCAGCACTTTGGGAGGCTGAGGCAGGTGGATCATCTGAGGTCAGGAGTTCGAGGGCCAATATAGTGAAACCCCGTCTCTATTAAAAATAGAAAAATTAGCTGGGCATGGTGGTGCGTGCCTGTAGTCCCAGCTACTCAGGAGGCTGAGGCAGGAGAATCACTTGAACCTGGGAGGTGGAGGTCATGGTGAGCCGAGGTTTTGCCACTGCACTCCAGCCTGGGCAACAGAGTGAGACTCTGTCTCAAAAAAGAAAAAAAAAAGCCAGGCATGGTGGCTCACGCCTGTAATCTCAGCACTTTGGGAGGCGGAGCGGGCGGATCACCTGAGGTCGGGAGTTCAAGACCAGCCTAGCCAACATGTTGAAACCCTGTCTTAAGAAAAATAAAAAATAAATAAAAATTAAAATTAAAAAAGAAAACCCTCTTACAAAAAGGTCAATTTAGAAATATATAAAATTAAAACGTACAGCCTCTGCCTGCCCTCCCACTCCTGTATCTCATATTTTCATTTCCCCAGAGATAGCAACTTGGTATATACTCTCATATACTTTTTTCTATGCTTACACAAAGCGTGTTTACTAGTTACACATGCTGCTCTCAGCACACTGCCTGTAGGGTAGCCCTGGTCCACAGGAGCAGTTAAAAAAAAAAAAAAAATTACACGTATGTTTTTCAAGTTTTTGTTTTATTCTGTAATTACCTCTTTTTTGTTCTTGAATATCTTCTGATCCTTTTTATTTTGAGATAATTATAGAATCAGGAAGTTGCAAGAAATAGTACAGAGTCCTGTGGGCTTTTCACTCAGCTTCCTTTAGTGGCAGTATCTTACATAGCTATACTTCAGTATCAAAACCAGGAAATTTATATTGGTACATTACTGTTAAGTAAATTACAAAATTTAGTTTTCACCTTTTAAAAAATCTATTCATTTGTGCATATGTATGTGTAATTTTATGCCATACATATATTCCTATAACCACCACCATAATTAACATTTAGAACTATTACTGTAAAGGAACTCCCTGTTCTTTTTATCTGCACCCCCACCCACCACCACACCCACCACTGTTCCTGTTCCACTTGTCTGTTCCCCATCTCTATAGTTTTGACATTTGAGCATGTTACATAAATGGAATAATGTAATATGTAACCATTTGAGGTTGACTTTTTTCACAAAGGATAATTCCCTTGAGATCCATCTAAATTGTTGTTGCAGTAGTTCATTTTTTAAATTGTTGAGTGTTCCATTATGTGGTTGTACCAGAGTTTGTTTAAACATTTACTCATTGAAGGACATTCAGATTTTCACTGTTTTGTCACTATGAGTAAAGCTGCTGTGAACATTCATGGACAGGATTTTAGGTGAGTTTAATTTTTCATTTCTCTGGGATAAATGCCCAAGAATAAAATGTAAATGTTTAGTTTTATAAGAAACTGCACTATAATCATTTTATTTTCCACGTCAGATGGGTAATGTACTGACATTGTAATAAGGTTTGAGGGAGGCACATCTCACACATGAGTGTGAAAACCCAGTGTCATCACACTTAGGTCATCATAAGCTTATGAACTACAAAAGGATTGCACCACACTTTCAGAGTGTCTGTACCATTTTACATTCCCACCAGCAATGTATGTGATTCAGTTTCTCTGCAGCATTCATTATTATCACTTTTTAGATTTTTAGCTGTTCTTCTATTCCATTGTGATTTTACTTGGCATTTTTCTTTTTTTAAATTAAAAACATTTTCTTGCTCTCAGTCTTAAAATTATTTCCTCAAATACTTTGTACTTTAATGGCTAATGATGTTGGGCATCTTTTCATGTGCCATTTGTGTATTCTTTCTTTTCTTTCAACAGAGTTTTGCTTGTTCCCCAGGCTGATGTGCAATGGTGTAATCTTTGCTCACTCCAACCTTCGCTTCCTGGGTTCAAGCAGTTCTTGTGTCTCAGCCTCTTGAGTAGCAGGTATTACAGGCACACAACACCATGCCTGGCAAATTTTTGTATTTTTAATAGAGACAGTGTTTCATTATGTTGGCCAGGTTGGTCTCGAACTCCTGGCCTCAAGTGATCCGTCTACCTCAGCCTTCCAAAGTGCTGGGATTATAAGTGTGAGCCACTGTGCTGAGCCCCATCTGTATGTTTTCTTTGGTGAAGTGACTGTTCGTTTCTTTGACCCAGTGTTAGTGGTGTTGTTTTCTTTTTTCTTTTCTTTTCTTTTTTTTTTTTTTTTTGAGACAGTCTCACTCTCACCCAGGTTGGAGTGCAGTGGCTTGTTCTCGGCAGCTCACTGTAATCTCTGCCTCCTAGGTTTAAGCGATTCTTCTGCCTCAGCCTCCTGAGTATCTGACATTACAGGCATCTGCCACCATGCCCAGCTAATTTTTTTGTATTTGTAGTAGAGACGAGGTTTCACCATGTTGGCCAGGCTGTTTTTTGAATGTCTGACTTCAAGTGATCTGCTTGCCTCAGTCTCCCAAAGTGTTGATTACAGGTGTGAGCCACCACGCCCAGTCTGTAGAGTCATGTTCTGTCACCCAGGCTGGAGTGCAGTGGTGCAAGCTTGGCTTGCTGCAACCTTTACCTCCCAGGTTTGAGCAATTCTTCTGCCTCAGCCTCCTAAGTAGCTGGCATTACAGGTGCCTGCCACCATTCCTGGCTAATTTTTGTATTTTTAGTAGAGATGGGGTTTTGCCATGTTGGTCAGACTGGTCTTGAACTCCTGAACTCAAGTGATCTGCCCACCTCGGCCTCTCAAAGCGCTGGGATTACAGGTGTGAGCTGCCTCGCCCTGCCTGTTTTCTTAATAATGAGTTTTAACAGTTCTTTATATATTCTAGGTACAAGACCTTTATTAGATAGACGATTCTCCCAGTCTGTGTCTTACCTTTTCAGTCCCTTAATAGTGTCTTTCAGGCTAGGCGCAGTGGCTCATACCTGTAATCCTGATGCTTTGGGAGGCCAAAGTGGGAAGACTACTTGAACCCAGGAGTTCAAGACCAGCCTGTGCGATATAGTGAGACCCCCTCTCTACAAAAAATTTAAAAAAGTATCTTTGTTTGGTGGTGTGTGCCCATGGTCCCACATACTCGAGAGGCTGAGATGGGAGGATTGCTTGAGCCCATGAGGTAAGGCTGACCCAGGAGGTCAAGATGAAGTGCTGGGATTATAGTGGTGAGTCCCCAGACCTGGCCAGTGTTTTTTTTTGTCTCTTAAGAAGTTGGCCAGGTGTGGTGGCTCATGCCTATAATCCCAGTACATTGAGAGGCAGAGGTAGGTGGCTTGCTTGAGGTCAGGAGTATGAGACCAGCCTGGTCAACATGGTGAAACCTATCTCTACTAAAAATACAAAAAAAATTTAGCTGGGTATGGTGGTGCAAACCTGTAATCCTAGCTACTTGAGAGGCTGAGGCAGGAGAATTGGTTGAACCTGGGAGGTAGAGGGTGCATTGAGTCAAGATCACACCACTGCACTTCATCCTGTGCAACAAAGTGAAACTCGTCTCAAAAAAAGAAAAACAATTGTCTTTGCCCAGATCATAAAGGTTCTCTCTTATGTTTTTTCCTAAAAGTTTAAAGTTGTAGCCTTTTCCACCTAAATCCATGATCCATTCTTAATTATTTATTGTGTACACTATAAAGTTTAGGTTGAAGTACTTTTTTTTTTGCCTATGAATGTCCAGTGTTTCATCATAATTTATTGAAAAAACTGTCCTCTCTCCATTGAATTGTCCTGTACGTACAGCTTTATCCAAAATCAGTTGAGGGTGTTGATTTATTTCTAGAAGTCTTGTCAGAGTGATTTCTCTCACTCTTTTTCAAAACCATTTTATATTCTAGTTCTTTTGCCATTCCACTAAATTTAGAAGGGGCTTGTCTGTATGAATAAAAAAGTCTTAGTGGGATTTGGGTAAGAATTATGTTAAAACCTATGATCAATTTGGGGAGAATTGACATCTTTACTGATTCTCTTTTCATTTTAGTACATACAGATTTATACATTCTTTTAAACATATTTCTTAGCATGGATGTATGTATCATAATTTAACCATTCTCCTATTGATAGGCATTTAAAGTATTTCCATAATGCTGGCTTACAGATAGTTGTTCACTATTTTTTCTGTTTGTTTTGGAACCGAGTCTCTCTGTCAGCCAGGCTGGAGCGCAGTGATGTGATCTTGGCTCACTGTAACCTCTGCCTCCCGGATTCAAGCGATTCTTGTGCCTCAGCCTCCTATGTAACTGGGATTACAGGTGTGTACCACCATGCCTGGCTAATTTTCTTATTTTTACGTAAAAGTAGAGATGGGGTTTCCCCATGTTGCCCAGGCTGGTCCCAAAGTCCTGACCTCAGGTATCCACCTCCCTCAGCCTCCCAGAGTGCTGGGATTACAGGTGTGAGCCACTGTGCCTGGCTAGTTAACTGTTTTTATATTTTATTGATGTGTGCTTCTGCAAAATTTCTGTAGGAGATCATTTTGAAATTGTGTTCCAAAAGGCTATATTTGTTTATTGTCAAAATAACAGTGAAAGAAAATATCTGTTTCCCTATAACCTCCCTAACACTGGGAATAATTAACACTTTAAAAATTATTCCTGTAAAACTAAACTATATAACTCAACATTTTATTATAAAAATTACATATTCATTGAAGAAATGAAAAAACATAGAATTATATAAAGTGAAAAGGAAAACTCTTGTTCTTCCCTTCCTCCCATCCCCTTAGTAGCCAGTATTCTGGACCTTTTTTTATGTATAGTATATGCTTTTTCGTTTTTGACAAGTGAAATAGTTAAATTCTTCTTCTTTTTTTTTTTTTTTTTTTTTGTTGTTGTTGTTAATAGGTGATTTGCCATATTGGCCAGGCTGGTCTTGAGCTCCTGGCTTCAAGTTATCCACTTGCCTTACTTCCTAAAGTACTGTGATTATGGGCATGAGCCACCATGTCCAGCTCCATGTTTTGTCTTATAATTTGACAGTTTGATACTTGACAATATGTTATGATAATTTTTATTCATATAAGTATTTGATCTTGTTTAAGTAAAATTTGTGTAAGTTAAACAAATCGTATATGATTTTCTTCATCATATGGGACCCAAAAAAGGCAAAGGATGTCATTATGAATGTTTCTGGAAAAAATATCTAAATTGGATTTCCATTTTGTTTTAAAAATACTGTAGTTGAAACAGATAGAGGGAAATTGCCCAGTGGTAACTGTCATTTGGCATTTCGTTTCTATGACAATACTGTTTTGTTGTGAAGTGTTCTTTAACACTGCCTAATTCTCTGACACAGTTATTTCTTTATAGTTCCTTAGTATTGAAATTACAACTTTGTATGTATCTAACTTCCATGAACCCTTAAAAAGAGCATCAGGGACCTATCTCTTGGTTTTTGTTTTTCTATTTTGACGCTGTACCTGGCTTATAGTAAGTGCTTTACAGTGAAGAGTCAAGGCCTTTTATAAATTTTACTCTATAGGAAAAGGTGTCTTGAGGTGTTTATATTATTTTTCTAGTTGTAGAGATATGAGGATATGTTTTTAGCCAAAGCTATCTATTTATATATTTTTAAGTTGCTAAATGGAATGGTGGTTCATTTGTGGGAAAAAAACATTTTCAGGGTCTTTGGGCCAGTGAGATTTATCACCCCAATTCCCTCTGGATGGTTTCTGCCTTCTTGAATTTCTAGTCTAGATTCTGACTGAGATTATGTTACTCAGGTTTGAGAGACTGTGAACCTCTTTACCTTGAAAACTAAACATCGTAATTTACATTTGATCCTCATTCTACATAAAGTAAGGAGCCTAGCTGTATTGTGAAAGATTAGATTTACTTATCTTTAATTTTCACTTGTTCTGGATCTAGTTTTGAAGATAAATAAGAATTTCAAAGTCAGAGCTCACCTCTTTGGGATTCGGACTATGCATAGTTGTGTTTAGCAATTGTAATTTCTTTAGGAATTTAGTATGCAGATTTTTCTTTTTATATCTGACACTGATATTTTTAAAAAAGCTTTCTACTGCTACTGAGCTTTTATTTATTATTAATAGTTCACATTGGAACAAATACATATCCCCATACCATCCAGTGTCAAGATAATTTATACTGTTTTGACAGAGTACTCATTTTCTTAGGGAGGGATTATTTTTATTGTTTGTGGGAGAGTTCTCAAGGGAAGCGTGAGCCTAGGAGTGATTCCCTCTTTTCCTTGGTACCCAGGGGGTGCTTCCCATCTTGGCTGGTGTTTTTCTCTGAAACCTTTCAGAAAGTTAGCAGTAATAGGCCAGGTGCAGTGGCTCACGCCTGTAATCCCAGCACTTTGGGAGGCCAAGGCAGGTAGATCACCTGAGGTCAGGAGTTTGAGACCAGCCTGGCCAACATGGTGAAATTCCGTCTCTGCTAAAAAATTAGCCAGGTGTGGTGGTGCATGCCTATAATCCAGCTACTTGGGGAGGCTTAGGCAGGAGAATGCTTGAACCTGGGAGGTAGAGGTTGCAATGAACAGAAATTGAGCCACTGTACTCCAGCCTGGGTGACAGAGTGAGACACTGTGTCAAAAAAAAAAAAAAAGAAGAAAAGAAAATTAGCAGCAATAATGCTTGCTTCCCCCCTCTAACTAGAACCATGAAGCTTGTGACTTGCATTTCTTCTCACATCACCATAAAGAAGGAAATTGACTTTGAAACCAGAAAAGAAATTTTCTTGGCCGGGCTCGGTGGCTCATGCCTATAATCCCAGCACTTTGGGAGGCCGAGGCGGGTGGATCACGAGGTCAAGAGATTGAGACCATCCTGGTCAACATGGTGAAACCCCATCTCTACTAAAAATACAAAAATTAGCTGGGCATGGTGGTGCACGCCTGTAGTCCCAGCTACTTGGGAGGCTGAGGCAAGAGAATTGCTTGAACCCAGGAGGCGGAGAGGTTGTGGTGAGCCGAGATCGTGCCATTGCACTCCAGCCTGGGTAACAGCGAAACTCCGTCTCAAAAAAAAAAGTTTTTTTTCTTGGTGCAATATCAACTTTCCAAAGCTGTCATTGGAATTATTTCTATTTAAGGACATTTGAATTTGAATTGTATGTGATTCTGTAGACTCTACGGTTCCTTATTTGGTATGAGGCAAAGTATAAATAAATACGTTTCTCCGAGACATGTAGCGTTGCTTTGGCCATGATTTAACAAGAAGAGAGAGAAAAGCAAAATATACTCAGAAAAACATTCCTTTTTATGTGTGGGCAGCTTATTCTGTTGAGTACAGTGACAAATCACAGATTATCTTTCATTCATTTTGGTGTCATTCTAGAAATTCTTTATAACTTAATTCTGGTTTTCTGTATAATAACCCTTTAGGGACTGGGAATTGGAGTTCAGTTTCTGTTTAATCTTCTTCCCAGCACACCCCCACGATAGCTTCAGCACCTTTACTATTCCTGTAGAGGCTCTACTGTCCTTGTCTGTCTCTTTACTTGGATTCCTCATTTCTTCCTAAGCTACAAAACCTATAGCTGATCACCCTACTTTTAGTAAGCTCCTGATTGCTCCAGAATGTACAGTGGTATTTTTATATTTATGGAGACACTTATGGAACCCTTTGAAAATCCGATGAAAAACTATGGCTTTTCTGCTCTCAAAAATGTATATTGCATACAGAATTTTGTTTATAGTTTTAAGGGATTTGTAGATCTCTCTCGCATTAACCACTCCAAGAACTCCTGGTATAGGTAGGGATAAGAAAACATCATGGTGGATATTTTTATCCATTATGTTAACAGTGGTTTGCCAGTTCCACCATCATGTTTCATTAAAAAGACTTAAATGCTCCTTTGCATATAATAGTGTAATAGAGTTTCATAGCTGAAGCCCTCATAACTTGAGAACATGAACTGTCTAAAACTGATAACAGACACAAACAGCTAATAATCAAACACATAAGTATCAGCTATGTAAGTGTGTGTGTGTGGTTTTTTAAAAAAAAATATTTTAGAGGTATTAGTAGATGACTTTTGGAGACAGAGTTTCACTCTTGTTGTCTAGGCTTAAGTACAATGGCACAATCTCTGCTCGCCTCTACCTCCACCTCCCGTGTTCAAGTGATTCTCCTGCCTCAGCCTCTTGAGTAGCAGGGATTACAGGCATGCACCACCACACCCAACTAATTTTGTATTTTTAATAGAGTCGGGGTTTCTCCATGTTGGTCAGGCTTGTCTTGAACTCCTGACCTCAGGTGATCTGCCCACCTCAGCCTCCCAGAAGTGCTGGGATTACAGGCGTGAGCCACTGCGCTTGGCCATTAGTGGGTATTTCTTAGAGTGATGTGTTGCAAAGAAAATGGGTAGGGAAGAGGTCCCACTTTCAAAATGAATTAAAGTAAGAAAGAAACTTTACAAATGTATAAAACTAATTTTTACTTGTATTATAAAGTGAGGGAATTGAGATATTGAGAGGTTGGTTCATGTTTAAGTTTCTAAACTAAAGTAGAATAAAGATTGAATTCCTAATTTACAAGCTGGAGTTTTAGCCATGAGGCAGGTCCCTGTAGGTAGAAGAGCCTACACTACTGTAAGGAACTATTATTGTACAGGCTTGGTGAAGGAGGCCTATAACCTGTATGCAGCCTTTCTATTTTCTCTAGGAATATTTCTGTTTTCTTTTTTTGTTTATTTTTTGAGATGGAGTCTCTGTCACTCAGGCTGCCCAGGCTGGAGTGCAGTGGCGTGATCACGGCTCACTGTACCCTTGACCTCCTGGGCGCAACCGATTTTCCTGCCTCAGCCTCCTGAGTAGTTGGGACTACATGTGTACGCCATATTGCCCAGGCTGGTCTTGAACTCCTGAGCTCAAGTGATGATCCTGCCCAGCTCCCAAAGTGCTGGGATTACAGGCATGAGCCACCATGCCTGATCATCAAACTATTCTTGATTGTGAGCCATCTCTGGTTATCTTTATATATATCTTAAATGTCTTTTTTTTGAAAGGAGGGTCTCTGTCACCCAGGCTGGAGTACAGTGGTGTGAACACTGTAGTCTTGACTCTCCTGGGATCAAGCCATTTTCCTGCCTCAGCCTCCCAAGTAGCTGAGACTACAGATATACGCCACCACGCCTGGCTATCTTTTTTATTTTTGTAGAATTAAGGTCTCACTTTGTTACCCAGGCTGGTCTCCAACTCCTGAGCTCAACTGTTCCTCCTGCCTCGGCCTCCCAAAGTGCTGGGATTACAGGCATGAGCCACCACACCCAGCCCTAAATATCTT